GTTGAAAGAGATGGATCATAAAGCAATAGCAAAATATGTCGTCGAACAGAACTGTGAGTGGGTTTTTAACCCTCCCCACGCATCCCACTTTGGCGGAGTCTGGGAGCGCCAAATTTCCACCATTCGGCAAGTCCTTAACGGAATGTTTTCTGATCTCGGCCCTTGCCAACTTACGCACGAGCTTTTGGTAACACTCATGGCTGAGGTGTCGGGAATTGTAAACTCACGTCCTATTTCTACAATACCATCCGATGCAGATCAACCTCAACCCCTAACTCCTAACATGTTGCTGACAATGAAGACAAAACCACTCGTTTCACCACCAGGAATCTTTACCTCTCCTGACCTATATTCTCGCAGACATTGGAGGCGAGCGCAGTATTTGGCAGATCAATTCTGGAGCCGATGGAAGAACGAATATTTACAAAACCAACAGAGAAGATCGAAATGGAATGAACGTCGTCATAACTTGGCCGTAGGAGACATAGTTACCATGAAAGAAGAAGCACATCGCAATGAATGGCCTCTCGGAAGAGTTGTGGACGCCGTGGAAAGTAGTAATGACGGTTTAGTCAGAAAGGTTAAAATTGTGATCTGGAGAGACGGAGAAAAGAAATATTATCTTAGACCGATAAGTCAATTAGTATATATAATGAGTACATAAACAGTAGCAAGAACAAAACTTATGTTTTACTCTTGGGCGAGGAGTGTGATGACTCTTGACATTATCATTATAATTATGCATGCATATCGCATGGCTGAACAAGCGGCGAGTATATAACCGCCTAAAACTTACTAATCATAACTTTATAATTCGTTCACATTCATCTGGAGAACAGGGGAAATATTTACTTGGGGAATAGGAGAATCACTAGCTTGTTATAAACCTGCAGTTTGCTTAATCGGAGCATAAACGTATGTCTTTTCGTGTGTGTGTTCGCTGTTTGTATCTCAATTTGTATTATTCAGCCTGTTGTATTGTCTGGTTCCTATGTAAATACTTTAGTTTATTGTAAATCGTTTTGTAGTTTTTCACCGATTGGTATTAAATCATACTTCATACCCGTCTGGTTGAGACTTCGTCCCCACTTACGCTCGGGGCACGACAATTAGATTACACGGATATGGACGGAACTAGAATCAGTTCCAAAATATCGCATTCCTCGAACCGACCTGACCGCGTATAGCTCAGTTGGAAGAGCATTGGGCTAGTGTTCCAAAGGTCGTAGGTTCGAATTCCATCGTGGCCAGGCATATTTTTCAAGCCTACCCGGTGTGGATATACACTCAGAGTAACATCGCACAAACATCTTATTCACCTGAGTACATTACACCAACACAGCAGATTTCATGATTAATAGATTACACGGATATCGAAGGAACTAGACTCAGTTCCGAAATATCGCATTCTCGAACCGACCTGACCACGTAGCTCAGTTGGAAGAACATTGGGCTAGTGTTCCAAAGCTCGTAGGTTCCAATTCCACGGTGGCCAAGCATGTTTTTCAAGCCTGCCCGGTGTGGATATACACTCAGAGTAACATCACACAAACATGAAACTGAATTATTATAATATATGTCAATCAAACTCAGAACACGAATGGTATTACATACAACCATGTTTCGTCGTTCTTTAGAAATCTTATCGTGATTTTGCATGCCAAACAAGCTGAGAACATGAATTATAAGAAAACTGAAAATTGTGTGGAAACACGATAGACAAGCTACAGACGGTACCGTTTCGGCCTTATGGGCCTCATCAGTGTAGTGATGATTAGCAGGATGAAAGTAACTGCTATTTACAGTTACTTTTGATGCCTCACGAATGTGGGACCTCGAAACCATGTCAGATGCTCAAACTGCAATATGCCAAGATTCTAATGTTTTACGTGTCCGATAGTTGCCACTATCAATTACTTTCCCATTATCGAAATCAATTATATTATCTATATATTCATTAATTATATATTATAGAGAGTAAAATACTGAAAAATACACAGTGAGATATTTTCCATATCTTCCCTAGTGAAGATATCGATCACGTGACTTTAGTATTTATGCAATTTCTTGCTTGAGACTATATAATAAACAGAACATTACACTGTGGCCTGAAGATATGACTTCTATCTTCTCGTGTTAAAAACGATATTTTACTCACTCGCTGCGCTCGTTCCTAAAATATTGTTTTCACCACTCGGAGATAAAAGTAATATCTTCGCGTCGCCTTTTAATATCCTTCATATATATATATATATATATATATATATATATATATATATATATATATATATATATATATATATATATATATATATATATATATATATATTATTATATGATCCATATATCCCATGCATGTTTAGGTATGTTTGAGCCTTTTGTATAGTTTTTTACATTTAGAATATATTCCTTTGTTCGAGTTCCAAATGATCTTCCGGTTTCGCCAACATATTTCTTCCAGTTTCGTCAACATTCAGTAGATTTGGACACTTTTATAGCACGGTTACCACGAACAAACATTAAAAACAATGTTTAATACGCTAGTAACAGAGGTAATCATATACATAAAGATATTACTCGACTGGGATTGGTTGATTTCAGTGCAGTTAATCCTAAACAGCAGTTCAATTTTCTGTAATCACAGTGCAATTTTTGTAATCACAGTGCAAATATCTGTAACAAACTGATCGGATAGGTGGAAAACTTTTGTAATGATTAAATGAACCAAGCAATTTTAGTTTAATTAAAGAAGTAATGGTCACAATTTGCTTCGAAACAAAACAAACATGGCGCCGCGCTACACAAAGTAAAAGTAGCCTTCGCGTGGAAAATATGGCTTTTATCTTTATTTTTAAATAGAAAAGCATTTACCTAAAACAAAATAACAAAAATTACTTAATTGAGTGGAATGTTCAAGCTGTTAGCGTTGTATAATGTGATATAACAAAGCCATTTGCATATCAATTGCGTAAATATAAATAGAACCGGAAATGTATGCGCATCCAATAATATGCAAATTTAGGACTGCTATAGCTGTAAAATCTTTTACCGCCAGCCAATTTCGCGAAATAAAACATGGAACACTAGACACACCAAATATTAACATCTTGCAAAGCCAAGATTACAGCTGTGTAAACAAGAAAACAAAATACATATATGTTATTTACCAGCTGCGAGGTCCGTACTGAAAAAATATTTTCCCGAGATCTCAGAAGCGGCCCCAGGCCGAAGGCCGAGGGACGCTTCTAAGGCCGAGGAAAAATATTTTTTAGCAAGGACCGACCTAAATGGTAAATAACGTGTTTATTTTTTTATTTGATAGTTCATGGTCATAATGAAATTCCGATAAAATTCCAGTTGCGAAGTATATTTGAGATCAGTTGCGTTTGTTACTTACTTACTTTAGTCTTTAGTGCTTGCAAGCATGGCTGACGCGACAAACTGCTAAAACGACGCGATAAAAGCTGGATAAAAAGCTTTTAGTTTCATTGCAATAGATGCTTTTCTATATCAACAAGAAAACACAAGGTAATCAAAGTAAAAATATTTATTTTCCGATTCGTTTTGCAGCATGGACATGCTTGAAAAATGCTTTTTGACGGACAAATACAAATTTTAGTTGCCGAAAAACAATTTGTTCTTTACAACATTTATAAAAACAATTTTGCACGAATAAGCCCAGGAATCGTCTTTAAACTGCCATTTAAGGGTTTTTTTTAACATTTTATGTTTAAGGACAAGTTGTACGTTGTACTATTTATATTTATATTTATACGTATATTTTTTATGAATAGCTGAATATATGTGGAGCATTTGAATCAAAACATGTAGCACTGGGCAGTGTTTTTTCGATGTTTATGCATGTGGTTTTTTTCGCATTTTGGTCGGAGAAAAGTACATTTCGGGCTTGGCACTAAGTCCAATGAAGCCAATTCACTATATTTTGCTGTCTTTAGTATCGATAGGCTGGATTTTAAACTGTTTGGGTAGTGTTTTGAGTTTGAAAATTGTCTTCACTCCTCGGTTTGTCTCTAAAAAATAACTCTTTTGGACCACGGTCAAGATATCGTAAAAAGCTGCCCACTGCTGCAGCCATTCAGATTGCAGGAAATCAAAAAATATCACTAGGCATGCACAAATAAAAGAATAAAAGGTGATATTTCGACTTTATTTCAAAAGCATTGCCAACATAACTAACTACAAGGGTGTAAACATCTTCAGTATATCATTCCCTATTCCCTTTCCTGCTCAGCTCATTAGGTCGAGATATTAGCTTTCTGTTGTCCACTACAAGTAACTCAACTCTAGTACAGAAAATGCTGATATTCTATTCTAAATAGCTATTCTCCTCACTCACCTCCCCTATGAATATTTCTTCACCATCGGTAAAATTTGTATCCGACCGTAAACACGCTTACCGATGGATCCGATCGATCGGACCATCTAACATTTGGCCGCTACATCGTAACCTCCTGCCCAGGCTCTTAACTCTGCAACTCTGGCTTTCAAATGACGTCATTTCACCATCGGTAAACTTTTTGTCCGACCGTAAACAAGCTTGTCCGATGGATCCGATCGATCAGATCATCTGACATTTTCCACTTACATTGTGGCAGAGCTGCCTGTCCAGGCTCTTTACTTTGCCACCGCGTAGCTTTTAAATGACATCATTTCGCCATCGGAAAATTTTCTGTCCGACCGTAAAGAAGCTTGTCCGATGGATCCGATCGACCGATCGGACCATCTGACTTTTGCTACTTACATCCTGGCACACTCCTTTAACCCTAGCTTTGAAATGAAGACGCCATAAGTAAAATGACTGTCCGACCGTAAACACGCTTTTCCGATGGATACGATCGATCGATCGTTCGGATCATCTGACATTTGTCACTAACATCGTGGCAGAGCCGCCTGCCCAGGCTTTTTACTTTGCAACCCTAGGTTTCAACTGACGTCATTTCGCCATCGGTGAAATTTCTGTCCGACCGTAAATACGCTTGTCCGGTGGATCCGAACGATCGATCGGACCATCTGGCATTTGCCACTTACATCGTTGAAACATGGACACTTAGAGAAAAAAAATCATTTCAGAAGTACAATGGTCCGACTTATTTGTCATGCCTGACTGTTGTTATAGTCCTTATATTTATGTTATGAATTAATATCACGTTATGCTATATTTGATTGCTTATATTCTCCATCGGACAAACTTTTCTCCGACGGTAAACATGTCTGTCCATCGGATCAATCGGTTGCACATGTATGATGGATTTCTCCATCGGACTCCGATAGCGGGTATTGGACATCAATCGGTTTATGAGCGATTTTAAAGTGTTTTCATTGTGCAGTTTTGTTTATCCAAACGTCGAAGCTACAATGACTAATTTTGTCTTGTTGCTTTGATCTACAGCTTTTGTTGACATTTTGGGCTAGATAGGAACATTTCGTTTTTAACTTGCCTTTTGCAATTTGTGTAAAAACATTATAAACAAGCTAACAATTTTTTATGGTTTAACTATCCATATTTTTGGTGTTTTTATGTGCTAAAGATTTTTAGGCTATCAAGAGCAATCACGACACCACCAAAATTATTTGTTTAACTAATTTGCCAAATCACCGTTTTCTTAAAATTGATTTGCTATGACAATTGGTTGGCTGAGGTCACCACTTTAGCTAATACGATTGGTTGAAATAAGGATGCAATATTAGCAAGATTCAACGAGCCTTCGGCGACAAAATGCATAAATATCCGATGGTTGCGGAGCTATTTTAACTGTGGACGTCATCGGCATGCAACAATTTTGGGCCAATCAGGGTTAATATTTCAGCTCCTTTTCTGGAAACTTTCAAACTTTAAAGATTTTCTGAAAATTCGTTTTTAAACATACACGGGAGGATGGTGCCGTTCTAGCCCCAATATAGAACAGAGAGGACGTTGAATTGAAGTATTGCCGAATCATCTCCATCACTGCATTTAAATTTTTTATGAGGTGAATTAAGGGCAGGTCGCGCTGGAACATAAAATTTTTCGAACATTATATTTCTCATTATATTTGGTGTTGATATACTTTAGTTTTTTGGTTTTTTTAATTTTTCGTAAAATCCCTATAATTTAAGGTTCAATTCTTGCTTTTTAATCAATTTCACCCAATAATCTTTGCTGTAAATGCACGCAATATTCTTTCACGCTGTAATCTTTGCTGCATTTCATCCAATTAACTTTGCTGGCTTACTGCAGCTCGCCACAATCGACTCGGAAACAATTTGCCGATTGGGATACAATAATTTGTCGACTATACGCGACGACTTGGGTACTTATATAATTGTTACTAAAAATTACATATTTTACATAGAAAAAATAAAATTGGAGCTTACCACGGCCACATCGAGATCCAGTCCAACCCGATGGACATTGACACATTTTTGGAGATGTACATACACCATCGTTTTGACAGCCACCTGGGCAAACGGCTGAACAATGTAATAAAGGAAAGCTTACATTACATGAGAATTTGTAATATTACTTTCCTATTTATTATTTATTCTATGATCCTATGTATTTATTATTTGCAAAGCAAAATTTCTGAATGCAATTTGATTTGTTGAAAGGGAAAACTTTGTTTATTAATTGCACTCCATCGCAGGAGTAAGGCTTAGGAATTTTTTGGCAACATTTAAAAATAATTTTAAAAAAGCTATAAAGAAGAAGTTTTTTTTAATCTCGACACGTTTATCAAACAAAATTTCAGTTAATGAGAATAGTACCATAAGTACCATTCCATTTGGCCTAATAAATTCTATCCACATGCGACGTTTTGTGCTGAAACAAGAAATATACATTTTAACCCTGTTTTTTTGACTGATGGCTAAACTATTGAATTACTTGTATCATACGGCATTGAAACTTCCTCCGTATCACGAATTGCACTTATTCACGTGAAAGGCAAGGTTTTGTCTGATGTTTTGTATGGTCTAGCACGCGTGTGAGCACGTGTCTGTTTCGCTCAAAGAACAAGAACAAGAACAAGAACAAGAATAAGAACAAGTTTTGCCAAATTAATCCAAAAATTTAAATACAAATTAGTTCTGCGTTATTCTTTGCCATAAAAAGAGTTGTTTTCCCATATTGTTTAAAGGACATTCCAACAAGTCTGTAAATTTGAAAGAACAGCCGGAAAATAAAGTAACAAGCACCCAATTATTGTGGGAGAATGGGACCATAGTGAAGTGAATTAGTAAAATGCATCATACTCTAAGACGCTGGTGAATCCAAAGACCTATGAAGCCTTATGTTTTCATCCTGCAGGGGTGTGAAGACTAAAAGCACTTGGCGTGACTATTCCGGATAGGTCCATGTCGTATTTGTTTCATTTCAGGAAATTATTCCCTTCTTATAACTTATAACGCGTCGTTTGAAAGTCCATGAACTATGCTATTGAATGTATGTTTTTGGTCCCTTCAAAATGTCACACACGCTAAGAAAATAGCGAACAAATGCGTTCAAATTTCTAAATTTAATAAAATGTATATATAACATTATAACTTTAATGTTGAGCCCCAGTAACATCTACTGTAGGTAGGAACCAAGTTTTAGGCGTCTTATACGCGCAAATGACAAGCTTATTATCCCATCACTTATAAATGAGTAGTGCATGCATAGACATAACTGACTAATTTCTTTACCAATCAGGCGCGTTAATGGTTTTCCACTGGGTGGTTCAGAAACCGAAAGCCCATATGTTTCGCTATGGAATTCCAGATATCTTGGTTACCGATAACGGACGGCAGTTTGACAGCAACGAATTCAAGCAGTTTCAAAAGAAATGGAGTTTTCAACACATATCACTAGTTCACCGTGTTATCCTCAAAGCAATGACGATGTAAGACGTGCAGTGCAAAGTGCAACAACGTTGACGAAGAAAGCGAAGGAAGCTGGAGAGGACTGTTATTTTCCACTTCTGAATCAACGTAATATACCGAGAGACGTTCTGTGAAGTCCAGCGCAACGACTTATGTCAAGGCGTACTAAAGATCACTAAAACAACGTACCTCAATCAATGGAGGCAATAATTATTGAAGAACAGCTACAACAATATAAAAAAAAAACAACAAGCAATATACAACAATCGCACAGCAAAGAGATTGCAACCCTTAGAAAGTGGAGTTGTGGTCAGAGTGATAAGTAAAGATGGCTTCAGAAAGAAAGGTATTATTGTTCGTAAAGCTCAACATCCACAATCCTACGTAGTTGAGTATGGCAATCGGGACTACAGACGAAATCACGGGCAGATCATTGAAGTATAGATAAACCACCGCCAGAGTTTATTTCAGTAGAACAACCAGAAACACAGGGAGGGAAAATTACTGGTGGACCTCAAACCCAAGACGCATAAGCTGCATAATCGGCCGAATTACGATCATACAGATCGAGAACCAGATCTAAACGCATAGTCAAACCACCAAACATATTATATTTATATATAATATATATTTAAGGTATTAGAAGGTATAAAAGAACTTATGAAACAGTTAATAGGATTTTATAGTGAACTAAATAATTAGTATAGGAAGAACTTTAGAATCTCAAAACTTTAAGAATATTTTCGGATTTTAATTTTTTATGAAAACAATAATAAAAAGGGGGATGTAATATAGACAATACTTTTGTATAATGAAATTAATTATTGTTCAAGTAAATGAGCTAAACTATTATATATAGCAATGCAGAGATTAAACTAAGGGTTGACTTGAATAAAGAACCAACATCTTACAATTTCCGCCTAATCAAAGTTTATTTACTGTTTGGTTTTAAGCGCACAGGCGTTAGCAATTTATTCAGCCAATTGGTGTCTCCTTGAAATAAAATACGATTAAAATAAGTCTTTATCTTTGAACAACGTCGGTTAACTTACGTATGGTACACTCGCTGCCTCTCGCTATCCATCCGTCCTCGCAGGTATAAACTGATCTTGTCTTTCTAACCCTTTTGTATACAGTCTTCCAAACATGGTAGTAGATAGTTCTGTTTAAAATAAGGAAAGGATTACGGACATTTCATTTCATATTAAAAAGACAATACGATTTTTAGTTCACAAAAGACAAATTTAAGGATATTTTGTAAAAAGTATAGTTTGAAAATGAAGAACAAATTCTCATTTCAATTAGTCACGATGAAGCTTTTACTTTACAACAGTACTTTAACATGCAGTGTGGTTTTCATGATCTGTTATGCAATTTTTAGTCTTTTGTGTTCCTGATCCTGGGGTCAGTGCTTGAATGTTTGCTAGGGCATATGTTTCCCAAAAAATGAGCAATTGATCTTATATGTCTCTCAAAAAGTATATCTGTCTTCTTTAAGAATGAGATCCAGAACAGCTCTCTTAAATATAAGGCCTCTGCGCCTTCAAACTTACCTACAAACTCTGTCGTCATCCGTACACCACCACAGGATTTTAGAAGAACATGTATTTGTGCAAGTTCTTCTATGTGTCAAAACTTTCGCTGTTGTTCTCTCTGTGACATAGTAGTATTCATAACTGGTTTTTACATTTCTCCTGTAAACGGCAAAAAAAAGCTTAAGAAACGTTCCAAAAATAATTAAGCCAATAAAATACATGAAATATTCCAACTAAATCATCAGTCAGATTGCATGCGCGGCCTGCAAAATTTAGTGCCTTTCCCAACATTGCAATTTTGGCATAGCGCCCTGGGATTAATTGAACGCCAGATTAAATTTCATCTCGCCTGCCATTCCTCGAGCGCTTTTAAAGTTTGCTGACGCGTAATGGTTTTCGGCGCCTAATTTTCGCAATCAGATTTTTTTCTAAGGCATATCTAGAAACGTTTAACTATTTCGTTGATAATAATCTCAATTATATGGGAAAATGAAGAATATAAATAAATAAAACTATATACACTATCAAACTAAGGACTTCTTTCTTCAGGATGTGTTGGAAGCTATACTCCACGTAATCAGAATTTAAGCCCTGTTTACACGAACGCGACACAACACTTGGTTCCGGGACAATGAGTTGTCCCGGGATAAAAATAGTTAAAACTCAATTCAATCCGACAATATTAATTTCCGACGTATATGACCGGAATATTAAAGGGGCAGTGTCACGGCGCTGATTGGCTAAAATAAACGGCGCAAAGTCCTCATGATCAGCAGCAAAATGTCTGTACTTTGTGTAACACAAATGAAATTGGCTTTGTTAAGCGAACTCAGATTTCACTGCTTTTTAATATATATGACCTTGTTAATGTCTTCGTCTATAAATGAAAAGGTACGTTTTGTTTATTTTAATATAATTGTGTTATTTCTCAGAATAAACTAGTTAGTCACTATTAAATTTCTTGCCAGTTGTCAGACTGCAAATGCAGAAATACGTGCTCGAAGAAAGATGGCGAAAAGAAGAAGGGTTGCCCCTGCAGAACAGCTGGTCGTTACTGTTCTCAGTTATGTGTATGTGGAAATAAAGAGAAATCATGCGTAAACAAGGTAGGTTTGTTCATTTTACATAAGTAACTCAACACTGTATTGCGCCTATTTTGCATAACATATTTGGGAAATACGTATTCTTATGCAGATTTATGGCATATATGTATATATTATAAGCTCTGTTATGCATTTCTTACATGTATACTTCGTTTCATATGTTTTATCTTTTCATATATTTTTGTTGCAACTGTTTATGATGTCGGTTGATTGTTTATTATCTGTTATGCAGGAAGGATATGTTCCGCCAACAAAGAAGAAGAGAAGTAAATCCCAATCTGCTGGTCAAAGTAGCCATGATGACCAGTCAAATGATCTATCAACACCTGCCTGACAATCAGAGGATGATGAAAACAGATTGGAAAACAATCAAGTTAACGTAAGAAATGCAAGTATAAAATTTTCAAACTTGAATATAATGTAGTCTGTGCACTTTGCAAAAGGTGCCTTGTTTTATATATAAAGGACATAATTATGTCGTAGATCATTGAATCATATTTTCAACATAAACAAATTTGCATAGTGTTTCACAAACTAATGGAGTAATGCCGAGAATCAAGAATCGTGTGCTTTTAATTAGATATATCAAGTGATTTTGTTTTAATACCTTCAAAATTACTGATTTCTGTCTGAATTTCCCTATATGTTTCAGGTACATGAAAATTGAATAGGGCTGTAATGAGAGTTTGTGTAGGGACAGGGCAAAAATTTTACTTTGTGGCCTATCACATCATAATTAACCCCCAATGTACATAAAAACCCTTCAACTTGGATGTGTGTAGAGTGTAGACTTATGTTGAAAGGTATGTCTGCCACCTATTTTAAAAATACCCTCAACTTGCAAAGAGGCCATCATAAAAACCTATTAGCATAACTTATAATGCATATTACATTATTTCAAATTATTAGGCATTTCTTGATAGCTTTGGATGCTGATATGGTCAAACAGCTTGCAACGTGTGTCCTCCAAAAGGGGGTTGGCAGTATGGATTATATTCATAGCATGATGATTGTAATGTATGATGGTGATGAGGATGACGTACCACCTGTACAACAGAATATCCAGGAAGCATCATCACCATCAAACAGCAATGCAAGGCAGGAACCTGTTCCTGATTGGTGCAGATGTGATCATTGCTTTATCATGCCCCAGGCAATTGAAAACAAGTGCTGTACGCACAAGAAGTGTGTTACAAACACAAGAAGATTTAGAAAACTATGTCTTGACCCAGAATTTTTGTTACTTAGCAGCCGAAATGTTGGTGATATCCGGAATGACCCACATGATAATAGCACCAGGGCATTTAGAAAGCAGGCATACCGACATTATATTTTAGATACATATGGATATTTAGGTAAAGGAAACAGAAAAGTGGCCCCATCATGTGTGGTGACATGCATTAGAAGGCATTATCCATCTCCAACTGGTGTATATATGGGATATCGAGAACATTGAGATATGTGGTATAAATAATTTTTATTTAGTAAAAAGACAGATTTTGTTGTGATGGAGCAGTTTCACAATAACTGACATAGCATATCCATCAACAATTCTGAAACCTGCTCATTTTCCTTTGATGAAGTGTCCTTGAATCTTCTGGGGCAACCCCTGCAATTGTTGCACTGATTTTCTGGGATCATCATCACTCAAATGAACTTTCCGTTTCACACTCTTTTTATCAGCCATCCTACTGTCAAGTATTTTTGCCACCATCAAGGTAACATATGCATAGTCCTTTGCTTTTTTAATGATCTTCGAGTCCCATGATTTCGTTCTTTGGTTGTACTTTCGGCTTACCATCACCTCTCCAGGACGAGAATCTAATTCGTTTGAGGTAAGTCCTTATGGTAATTCCAGTCCATAGCTGCTAACTGTTTTCTGGCAGTAAACACTGGAAACCTGTAACATCAGCAGATTCAACAAACTATTTCAACCATATCAAGACATTAAATTGCTTATCATTGACTTACTGTTGGCTGTATAAATCAGGAAGCTCGAAAAATACTACTTACTTAAAAGAACATCTCTTTGGAGAGTATGCCAGTGACAAATTATTAGCACATTCTATGCTACCTTACCCTGGATTCCAGAGCCTTCGACAGTAAATAATAAATTGAAATGTCGCGAAGGCTCTGGTTCAACGGGGCGATTCTTTGATTAAGCCGCGCCAATCACAAAACAGAATTAGTGGTTTTAGTACAGAATCTGTACTAAAACCACTAATTCTGTTTTGTGATTGGCGCGGCTTAATCAAAGAATCGCCCCGTTGAACCAGAGCCTTCGCGACATTTCAATTTATTATTTACTGTCGAAGGCTCTGGAATCCAGGGTAATGCTACCTGTGTGCCTAAAATAGACAAATAGAAAAAATCTGTGTAATACCTTGAAATGCCATAATAAAAGCAGTTTAATCCATTAAAGTGCAAAACTCTCCCATTGACAAGTAAAATCGTCTGACATTAGACAGAGTAAAATAATAAAGTAGAGCACGTTTGGGCGCATTGCTAATGGTTATTAATACCTAAAAAAGTAATGTATTTTTTTACGTGAAACGAGTATAGAATCTGAAGGTGTCAAGTAGTTTTGGATTGGTGATGATTTTCTGAAGAGTCTTGAATACCTCCTCTCTCCTATCAAACCATTCCTCATTTCTTTCTTCAGGACACTCTCCATGTGCAGATCTTCCTCCTAGCCAGGAATGTGTATTACACACATGATGAAGCAGACCAAACCACTTATCCTGCAAACAAAATTATATTATAGTATAGCATTTGTAAATTCTGAACGCTGATTGGCTAAGAGCCATGTTGATATAACTCCATGTCAACACGGGAAATTTTCTGTTGCTTGTAAACACGGAAATTTTTCTTATCCTTCGGGCTTTTGACATTGCTATATTATAAAAAAATATAAAACATTGTTTCCGTATTGATATATAGTTATATCAACACTCGTGGAAGTTGGGAAAACTCGAAATTGTATGAAAACAC